ATTGTATGCCCAGATCTTGCATCTGATGACAGAAGCTGAATGAAATGACACTTCTGCACAATCAGATGCTTGTTTGAGTGTGGATGTTTGATGCGGAAGGTTACACTCGCTTTGATCAAATCCAAGCAATGGCTGATTTTTCTACTCATGACTATGGCTCTAACCGGCCTCCCTGGCTCATGGCAGATTTTTTTTGCTAGTCCCAATAAATCATCATCCTTGCTAACAAGAAAATAGGAACGACAGAGGACCACTATGGCCCTTGTCTACTTTTTGTCCGGACCAAGGCTGGCCACACTGCCTGGCACTTTCACGGTGGCCTTAAGAACCACATTGTGTTGCTTCAGCGTCACTGCTCTTCAAGGTTGCCAGTCCACCTGCTGAATCGCTTGTGTTATTATAGAATCATAGAATGCTTAAGGTTGGAAGGGAGGTCATCTAGTCCAACCCCCCTGCACGCGCAGGGTCACCTAGAGCATGTGGCACAGGAACATTATACGTTTCTTACTGCAGAAAGTCGATGTAAATAAGCTTCTTCCCACTTGTAGCTCTGTCCCATTTCGGTTATCACATCACCACGGCAGCACGAACGCTTTGATCATAAAGCATGTTTTGCTCTTATTCTCTCCCTGGTGCCATACAAACAGGAGCTGGATTGCAGAAAGGAGCAGAAAAGAATGAGACTTTACGCAAACTTGTCCCCAACAGTGAAAATAACCCAGTGATCAGCAGTAAAACAGTAAATTATTCACTCGGCTTCTGATTTTTTTAGGCTTCTGAGCCTTCTTTATCTGCCACGTGTCCCTAAATTACTAGAAAAAGGAAAACATTGACTCAGAAGAATTTTCTTGAGGTTGGGAATAGTCACTGCAGAAAAAGGAGAGAAGTTCACACCTCATTAAGGCTTATTGACAAGTTCTTTCTCACTTCAAGACTCTGTAAGGGGGGGGTGGGTTGTTCTCTATATACTTGGATAACATCAGATCTCAGGCAACACCTAAAGTTTCTTTTCACAATAACAAGTAGCAGAAATCTTTATTTTTATATGAAAAGCTCAACTCTGCAGAAACGGATTTAATTCCTTGGGAAGTCAGTGGTGTGAGCCACAGTTCTCAGCAATGGCTTCATTCTGCATGGATTTTCGAGGGCCTGGTGGACAGACCTTTCCTGTCCCCCGAGGGCTCCCCCAGGGCACCTACATCCACCTTCTGGCTTCCTCAGGAGATCTTCGGTCATTTGCTCTCTTTCCTTTGAACATATCCCAGTCACTCTCTGTTCTCCTCCCTCAGCACAAAGACTTTTTCTACCAGCATCCCCAAAAGGGAGATAACAGACAATAACAACAGCTACACTGAGTTTTGTGGTATCTCTTCCACTTTGACTGCAACATAATTTACATCCATCTCAACCCCTAATATTGTTCTGTACTTTCTCTGTCATGGGCCAAATCCTGAGGCAACTCCTCATTGGGTTTGCCTGTGTAGAACATATTTGTGTAGGACGGAGTGAGTAAGATATTTGCAATTTGACCTAGTATCTGAGCATTTCATTAATCCTTCCTCCATCGACCACTTAACCTTTCTGGGCGTTCTTATTGCCTCTCATTGTATTGATTTCAGTCCATTTCTCCAATTTAGTGAGATCATGCAGTATTTTAAACCTGTCTTCCACCGTATAACTAGGTTTAGCTGGGGGGTAATTGACATCAATTTAAAGATTGAAAAATTAGGCTGAATATCCGGAGAAAACTTCCTAATGGTGCGATGTGCTAGAATGCATTGCTATCTCTGTGTGGGATTGGTGGCAGTTCCATTAACGTGTGCATTAAAACCATACTGAAGAGGTATAAAATCTCAGACTGGAGAGAAGAGTCCTGACGTAGGAGGGGAAAGACAAGTTGAAAGGGACTGTAGCTCCTATGGTCACGGCATCCCTGACTGACCTCTCTTTCTCTTCACACCGACCAACAGCTCACCAAGAATGAACAACTAACTCCGGGGGCGGCATCCAGCGTGATGCTGCCTCCCAACATTACTGCTGCAACTAACTCCGGGGGCAGCATCCAGCCTGATGCTGCCTCCCAACATTACTGCTGCTTCAGCTCTGCTGGTGGGAGTGCTGTGGGAGTTTACGTCAGAGATACTCCATTCATTTTCACTCAGGACAGTTTTCCCAGCTGGTTTTACTAACTCCCAGGAAGCTGGGAGGCACAGGCTGGCTACAACCCGTGAACACGTGTTGCCTTCATGGCCACATCTGCTCAGGCTTTTGCAACTGCTTCCCAAGGCTGCGTGCAGACTGTGACACCCACAAGGGCTTCCTGAATGCTGCCTCTGGATGCGCTCCGTAGCACTGCCTACAATGTGTCTACTAGAAAGGAAACAAGGTGTCTAGGTTAAAGGAAGCCAGAGCATTCTGTAAACCCTTGAGCTGGTAATAGCGAGGCTTGCTGGAGAACACATCTCCTCCACCATGTAGACGGAGACACCTGGCCACCCCTAAGGACACAACACCCTGGAGATGACAACATGACAATATACCTCGTAACATCACCATAGATTTCAAAGGCATCCATCAGCGGTGTTAACATTCTCCCTTCGTTCACGTCTTAAAGAAATGCCTATCTAATTAATCTTCTTTCTAGCAAAACAGTTGAAAACAGATTGTGAAGAGAAGCATGCTCTTAATAAGGTGCTGATGAGAGATAGAGGAGAATGAGGGTTTTGGTTTAAAATACACTGACCACTGTTATGTTTATAAAGATAATAGTCCAAGAAGTAAGCACTATCCTTCATGCGCTTTGACTGAAATAGTTTAACTGCAGGACTGGCCAGAAAAAAGGTCCTCTACCTCACACCTGTCGTGAAAAATATCTCACATATTTAAGAAAACAATTTTCTCTGAAGTTCTTACTGAAATCAACTGCTTTTTAGTGCATGTGTATATATATGTATACATACATATCAAGGACTCCCATTACTGAAAAGTGAGAATACTATTTTTGTCCACAAAATCCACTATATTAAACTCAAAAGCCAAGTAGACTGCTATGTATTTTCATCACTTGGTAGGTGAGGCAGGTACCTCTTGAAATTCATCTGCTATATGAAGACAATTTGTAAAAGAATGAAATTCCTTTCTAAGAAAAGCTCAAAGGAAACCTTCCCAGCAGCCCCACTCGATTAGCAGTGACACAAAACCTGCAAAACTTGGCTCAGAAACATCTCCATTGCACAGCTGCTCCTCTGAATCTGAGACTGGAGACACGGAGGAGAAGACTTGTTCATTATCCCTTCTAAAAGGGATTAGCGGACGCATAGAGAGAGCAGGACCCCGCAGAGGGGAAAGGCCTCGTGCAGACCCTCTACGAGCTATGCAGAAGTGAATCATTCTCTCTGTGACAGGAGGCAGAGGCTACAAATTTGTCACAGAATGAGTAGCCAGAGGCTGATATGGAAGACGAAATCTCCTCGAGAACTCCTTGGAGAATCTCCCAATATGACTCTGAGGCTGGCAGATTTCTGGAGAAGATGGCAAGTGAAATGCAGCCATCTCAGGAGGCCGCTGTCTCTGCAGTTTTGTTTGTGCTTTTCTTTTACTGCACCTCTCCTGACGCCCTCTGGCTAGTACTGCTGAAATGAAACTTATTGATTGAAATTCTGATCCCATTGATTTTACACAAAGGATTTGCATGGGTATGAAAGAACAGGAACCACTCTGTAATCAGTCACGTCTCCATTTATTCCCAACTGAAGACATGTGGCCAGCTTGCTTTTCTGTGCATGAATCATTTCTTTCCTAGGAGCTTCCACATACAAATTGCCCCAAATTCAGATATATGGTACCTGTTCGCTCTCACAGGTGCAGTAAATATCACTGCTCCTTGAATGTACTAACATTATTTATGAGCTACCTTTTGGTTTTTCTTTTCACCCATTTCTTCCTTCCATCTCTCTTTTTACCGCATTAAGCACCAGATCTTTTTTCTCATCCTTTCACAGGTGTGGAATCACAGATTCTGAAAGGGGAATGTGATGGAAACAGCGCTGGGAGGAGATGAAGGAAGGAAAGTGCCAGAGAAGCAGTGCTTAACATACTGGAAGTGCTATTAGAAATGGTATTTCTACCCTAAAGGAAGGATGTGTAGATGCAGTGACCGCAGAACTCAATAGCAGGATGTAATAAGTGCTCAGAAGAGACAGTGAGCAGAGGCCCAAAGTGGAAAAATCTGCCGTGCACGACACTGCTCATCTGTAGGGCTGGTGCCTTTTAGCTTGCTGCCCTCAACATTTCATCCTTTCCTTCCTATTTTTTTATAGTCAAACTGTCACATATCAGTCAATGTTATGGATCAGAGCTGAATATATTGTCACTTGCGTAGGGCACTGGGAACGCATTTCATAGACAGTCTTGTGTATTTTCCCTATTGACATCTTCTGTTCCTTCCCTATTTCTAGCCTTATGAAATAGTGAAACCAGACAGGAAAATTGCAGTATTTTAACTATCGCTCCTGAAGAGCTGCTGGATGCGGCGGAGGGCTTCTGAAAACCAGGCAGCTTCTGTGGCGAAAAGGCATCTGTGATTGCGCTGCAGCATGGAAAAAGAAGGCGGAGGGGAAAGGGGGGAAGGAAAAAACCCACCTGTTAATCAGGCTGAGGGAAAACACATCCAAAATGGTGGGGAGACTTGATGAGGGGTGGCCCCTTCCAGCCCCACGGGCCGGGCACCCGGGGCCTAGTGGCCGCG